CTGCTGGAGCCATAAGAAATGTTTTCATGCATGGTGGCCCACCATCATGGTGGCTGCCATATGACCCAACAACTGAAGGTGCGTACGTACGGGAAGTGTCGGAGAGAGCGATACCGAATGAACTAGATTGCATATGACTTGGAAGTGGTCTGCAAGTAAGTAGACCCGAGCTGACCGTGAGTCGAGGCGAGCTCCTATAAACGTGAGTCTGGGTCAGCTCTAGACATGATTTTTCCATGTTTACAATTAAGCTGAGGGAGCTGAAGAGATTCCTCATTACTGCGAGCATGTTGAGAGCTTCCAACTGTGTGAAACATTTGAGCAAGCAGTCGTCTAGGTAGGGGAAGATGGAGACCCCTATCTTGCGAAGATGTGCAGCAACTACCGCCAGGATTTTGGAGAAAGCTCTGGGAGCCGAGACGAGGCCGAAAGGCAGCACTCTGTATTGATAGTGCTCCTGCCCGACTACGAAACGGAGGAAGCGCCTGTGTGGTAGCTGTATGGTGATATGAAAATACGCGTCCTGCAAATCGAGGACTCTGAACCAATCTTCCTTGCTCAGTGACAGTATAATTTTGCTTAGCGTGACCATTTTGAAACGCTGCTTCTTGATGTATCAGTTTAAGCGCTTCAGATTGAGAATAGGTCTTCACCCCCTGGATTTTTTGGGAACGAGGAAGTATTGAGAGTAAAACCCTCTGCCCCTGAATCTTGTGGGAACTACTCCTATGGCTCCTATAGCAAAAGATAACATACCTCTTGCTGGAGCTGAGTCTCGTGTGATGGATCCCTGAAGAGGGACGGGGAGGATGGAGTAGTGGGAGGTATGGAGATGAAAGGTATCGTGAAACCTGACTTTATTACTTCCAAGACTCAGCGGTCCGAGGTGATGTCGCGTCACTGGTGATAATATGGCTTGAGGCGGTCGTGAAAGAGAAGCGTGGTGGTGGGTTTTTCTACTATGAGCACTGAAGATGTGTTTGTGTCCTCGACACGAGTCAAATTTGCTGTTTGGCATTAGCCCGGGCTGGCGCACGACTGAACTGCTGGCGCTTGTGTTGCGGACGCTGTCGGAATCGAGACTGTTCAGGAGCGCACTGCTGATGTTTCTGAAATGGATAGGCGTGGTGGTGGTGGGTTCTTCTACTGTGAGTACTGAAGAGGTGTTCGTGTCCTCGACACACGAGTCAAATTTGCTATTTGGCGTTCGCCCGGGCTGGTGCACGATTGGAGTGCTGGTGCTTGCGCTGCAGATGCTGTCAGAATTGAGATTGGTCGGGAGCGCGCTATTGATGTTTCTGGAATGGAAGGTCATATCTCCTTTGGAATGGATAGTAGCGCCTACGCTTAAAGGGGGTGGGTATCTATCCCCAGCATCCGCAGAGTGGTCCATGAGTCCTTACCGGAATGTAGGACATCTTCAGTTGAAGTAGCAAACAATCTCTTACGATCAAATGGGAGATCTTCAACTTTGTTCTGGAGCTCCTTTGGTGCGCCTGCTGCCATTAGCCAAGAGGCCCTGCGCATGGCGATACCTGTTGCCATGGCTCGAGCTGCCGTATCCGCGACATCGAGGGCAATTTGGAGCGATGTCCTACATGCAGAATATACCTCCTGGACAATCGCCTTCAGCAGAAGTTTCTTAGTATCTGGAAGGTGTTGCATTAGGTCAGGTAATTTGGCATAATTGTCAAAATTGTGATTGGAGAGAAGGGCAGCATAATTTGCGATCCTAAGCATTAGGGTCGATGACGAATAAATCTTGCGTCCAAAGAAGTCAAGCTTTCTTGTGTCCTTATCCGGGAGTGCGGTTTTGAAGTGAGAAGCCTTGCTCTTATGGTGGACTGCATCCACTATTAAGGAGTTGGGTTGAGGATGCTTGAAGAGAAAATCCACGTCTTTAGATGGGACAAAATATCTTTTATCTGCTCTTTTGCTAGTAGGGGAGATCGTTGTGGGAGTCTGCCAGATCCCGTGTGCCACATCCAAAATTGCCTCATCAATTAGGAGTGCAATCTTTCTTCGTTGCTGGGGATGCAGATTTTTCAGTAGCTTATTGCTGCTTCACCTGTGCTTCAGACAGCTGAACCTCCTGGCTTTGTGCCACCCACTTAAAAAGGTCCTGGAATTCCTTAAGGTCATCGGGTGGCGAGTTATCACCTGGAGTCACAGCATCATTTGGTGCATGAGATGAAGAGCACACATTCGCAGGCATGTCTGTTTCTGCATCCCTGATCTGTCTCTCCTCAGGGTCCGAATGGTTCTGCTACGGATCTGGACTTCTTGGAGGGGGTGGAGCATGAGATGGTGATCGCGGCCTCGACCGATCATGATGAGAAGGCGGACTAACCGAGCGACAGGAGCAGGGAGACCTCTGATGGGAGAGAGAGTGGCTGTGTGGAGTTGAGACAATAATAAGGTCCGTCATAAACACGGGCTCGAGTGTTTTTATCCCTGGTGGAGTGAGGTGCAGGAGAACGGTGCTGCAGAGATGGTCCCGGTGAAGCTGTAGGAGAAGGCAGAGGAGAAGACGCATGCTTGCAGGATTTTGAGGTTGCCTTGCTCGGTGCCGGAGGAGGCAGCTCTGAACGCACAGAGGATGGTGCTGAAAGGACAGCGACCTGCGGAGCAAGGAGAGCTGCTAATTCAGGCTGGAGATCTGCTGGTGCGGAGGCTGCGGACAGCTCCTAAAGTGGGAGGGGGGGAGCTGCAGCTGAGTAGAGCTGACGGTGCCGGCAGGGCAAAGTCCTTCAAACGGCGCTCCGGTGCCGTGGCCAGTCGGGAGCGCGGTGCGGTGCCGGTCGGCTTCTTCGAGCCCGAGACCGGTGCAGAGCCGGTAGAGGAGCCAGAAGTGCCTGGCTTGTCTCCTGCACTTATCTGCTTCTGCAGAACAACAGGCAGCTCCCTCACAGGAGTGGTAGCCCCAGGGGAGGGAGCCCATCTCCTCCCTGCATCAGCAGTGGGGTTAGTGGTGCCGGCATCCTGAGGTGCGAGTGCCTTGTCAAAAAGTATCATCTTCAGGCGTCCTTTGCGGTCCTTGCGGGCTCTCGAGGTCAGGCTGGCACAGTGAGTGCACTGCTGTGGCAAATGTGCCTCTCCAAGGCACCTGATACAGGAGGCATAGCCGTCGGAAACCGGCATAGCCTCATGGCAAAGGGAGCACTTTTAAAACCCAGAGAACCCGGCATGCTGCTTGAGTGCTCTTGCCCGTACACCACTCAGTTCGTGGTATATGTGCTACCTTCAGTTTGTAGATATATTTATTTTCTGAATTGCCTTACTTTGCTTATCCTGCTCTCTTATTCTTTGTGGGGTGTTTTTTTTTTTTTTTTCTGGTGCGCGACAACTTTCACCTGGAGTACTGGCACCTTTTTTCTTACAAAAAAAGCACTGCCTACACCATTAGGAGAACCCCTCCTGTTCGCATATACTGCTTACAGTGAAGCACTACAGAGCTACAACTGCTGTGAAACTGCAGTGCTGCTGTAGTGATTTAAAGGTAGACCTACGCCCTGGTCTTTCTTGTGAGAGGAGAGCGAGCACCGTCCGTGGCCAGACGCGGCTGAGAGGAATTGAGGCGGGGACTGGACCGCGCTCGGAGAGGAAAGGCGCGAACGGCCTCGAACGCTCGCGCATGCGTGGTCCAGACAAACACAGCTTTGGGAAGCCTCCGATTCGCGGCGCCAGGGCGAGCCCGACACCAGACGTGGAGCACCCACGGGGCCTACCCGAAGAAGAAGCTAGCCATGTCCTGGAGCGCACAGCTGCAGCTCCTCTTACCCGCCCAAAATTCCACCCTTGCCATGGGCTAGACCAGGAATGGACAAAATGCAGCCTGAAGTCTGGATCCGGCCTTCCTAACACTTTGATCCAGCCTGCGGGCTGCATCTGGCCACTTTCTATTTATATCTTGCTGCCTGTGTTACTGAATTTCCTAGTGGTGGTTCAGGCAGCAGCAACCTATTTAAATGGCTCATGGCTTCCAGTCGCAGCATTACCCTGGGCAGAGGCCAAAGCGTGAGCCCTTTAAATAGCTGCAGCAACCCCAGGCAGCTTCCAGACAATGCGGTAGCAGCGGGGCCAGGAGCTGGGAGCTCTGTGCTGTGCTTTTACTTCAAAGCCTCCAGCCCCAGACAACTTTGGGGGGAGGCTAGTCCCTAGCCCATTCCTTCTGAGGGTGATGTCGGCCTGTGACCATGTATCAACATTCATTAAGTGGCTCCCCTGCAAAAATTATTGCCCACCTCTGGGCTAGACCCTACTTGGAGTGAAGTTAATGACCAAACTCATAAGTTTTAATAAAAACAAATAAATAATAAAGGGAAGCACCTTCTGCAGGGTCTTACTGTGGGTAGTTGACAGCGCACTGGCTTAGGAGTCAGGAGACCTGCGTTCTATTCCCAGCTCAGCTTCTAGCCTGCCAGATGACCTTGGGCAAGTCATTTCCCTACCTATGCCTCAGTTTTAGCCATCTGTAAGATGGACATTATGATTACCTCCTTTGAAAAAAATATTTCAGATCTACTGATGAAAAATACTACAGAACAGTGAAGTATGATTAATAGGAATGAAACAGGGTCCTTTCTTCTAATTCTACTCCCCTTTACACTCACTTAAACACTTGGGGCATCACTGTCCTTTTCCACAACATTATTACTGTTGCTGAGAGAGCCTTCTATTCCACAGTTGCTGCCTTGTATAACATCATACATTATAATTATAATTCTGACTGCCTTAACATATCTCTCTTCTCATCTAGCCATGCCTTTCCACCGCTCTCAGTTATTGATCTTACAGCTAAATGTCCTTTTTCACCATACTGCAGCATTATGGAATATAAGCTGTCAACTAGATATGGGTATTTTGTTTATGATTAGATTTAAATTAATCTAAAACTGGAAAAGGCTGACACCTTGACCAATCAATATCAAAATCAGGTACATTCACTTACGTAACAAATATATGTAAAAACCCTATTCTTTCATTTTTCCATTATGACTGGAATAGGGATGTAACAGATTCCCCATCCCAACAAGGCCTCATGTGCTGGGCTGGCCCTGCTTTCCTGGGAGCCCTGCTCATGCCCAGCAGGCAGGGAAAGGGCTGGATCTGCCTGGCACTGGGCCAGGAGTTGAGGACCAAAGCTTGGGCAGGCATAACGCAGTGGCCAAGTGAGCTCAGCATTCCAGGCTCACTACACTGGCTGGGCTGGCAGCGCTCCGCAGGTGGGTCTCCTGTGGCAAGCTGGGCCGATGCCACTGGTGGCGCTGTGTGGAACCCTGGGCTGTGCAGGTGGGGGCAGTGCCTCGGGCTGGGTGCTCGAGGAGCCCGGCCATGCCTTGCGGATGCCTGGAAGGAGGCTCCGGCAGCTGAGCTGGTGTGGCTGGACTCGCTGCTCGGCTGGAGCAAGCCCAGGCTGGGCACTGAGTGCTGTGCACTGGTGGCAGCAGCCCACTGGGCTCGGGGGCAAGGAACGGAGCTCACCTGCTGCTGGGGATTTGTCCTGGATGGGCGGACGCTATGTGGCTCGGGCTAAACATGGTGCAGCCAGAAAGGGGAAGAGTAGGGTGAACGGCTGAGACGGGTTCCCATGGGCCCTGACCATGCAATTGGCCATTGTCCACCCATCCTGGCCATGCGATTCCCAGGCAGGCTCTGCCCAGCCCACACGATGCCTGGGTGCTACTGCCCAGTGTGTTGGATAGCCAGGGGGAGCCACCCCCCTGAAATGGCGTTGGCAGTTTGCTCTGGGGGACTAAAGGCACGAATTAGCAGGTTAAGCATCCCTCGCTGACCCAGCGCAGCCTTCCCAGAGCACGGCCAGCCTGCCCATGGATGCTGCAGCTCTTGGGCTTCCTCTCCTGGCTCCGGCATGTGCATGGCGGGCAGCACTTGCTGTGGTTCCCCGCTGCCAGGGCACAGACAGGAAGGTGGGGAGAGGAGGAGGGGCGGGGAGCAGGCTAAATGAGATGTGCTGGGAAGCCACGTCCCAAAGCAAACCTACCCCTAGCTGCCCCTTGCTGGGCTTTCCCAGTACATTTCACTGCCCTCCGGCTGGCCATGGACAGGGGTTGCTGGACCCGGCACAAGCTGGGACTGAGCCAGCTTGTCTCCAGATCGGCTCGTGCCAGGTCCATGAGCTACCCACACTGTGGTTTTGCAGTTTAAATGTAGTAAGAACTGGGCTGCCTATATTAAACCTGGCTCTTACTACATTTAAACTGCAAAGCTACAGCGGGGGTAGGCTCCTAGAGACTTCTAACCCTATTGACTAATTGTGCAGTTGATAGAAATTCTGTAGACTACACGATTAGCTGATTGCTCGTTCCTTAAACTTGGTCTAGAATCTTACAAGTAAATATTCTGGTTAACCCATATTCATGTTAATGTGTTATGATACCATCATTTATTTATTATGTATTTTTATGCCACGTATTTCATGCAATTTCATTGCATAGCAAATTGTATTATGTTTTGGCTGTAAAGACTAATCTAACTAAAAAAAAATGCACTAAGGATTTTTAGAAAATATATTTCTCCTCAAGCAAATTGTAAGATTAAGCAGTATTGTATATATGTAAAAATGATCTGTTTTTTTCCTTCCTCTGGAAAAAAAAAAGAAGCAAATATTTCAAGCAGTACTAGAGGTTATTTTGTCTCCCTTTTAAATGCAAATGTTTATTTACCTCTCACCAATACTCTTTCTTGTTCGGGCCTCTCTTGCAGATTTTCAATTACAGATCCACTCAGAGATACGTCTTTGTGAAGTTGTTTGTTTTGTATTTTACATTCCTCCAGACCTTCATCAAGTGCCATGAGCTGGTGCTGTGAATGCACGTCTGTCTTCTGTGTACAAAAGGCTAAGGAAATGTTTCCTAATGATCTAGATGATTTTAATGGAATGGGTAAACGGGATTTCTTGAATGGATAAATGAATTCACTCTGAAAGACAGATGCAATAAAACATGAGGTTTGGTAATGGGTATGAGATACTTGGTAAGGGAAGGCTAAACAAGAGCACCAGAAAAAAAATACTAGTAAAACTCTGTGAATACCAAGTAGGTGCTCTATTATATAATGCAGAAAGAGACTGAACCAACATCTTGAGCCAGAATAATAGGATGAACCTGGAACAGGACTGCTTCTCAATAAACCTTACAGAAAAGAGATAAAACAGAGACATTTGGAGTAGTGCTCTGTTTTGGCAGAGCTAATCAATGCTTAAGGTTAGAAAACTAGAAGAAAACGTTATTGAAAAAAAATTGACTATAGCCCTCTTTTGTTAAAACAGCAATTAACTTCATAAAAATAACACTGTATTTTTAAAAAATACAATCATTTAAATGAAGTATAAAAATGCAGTTGAGTTAAGGACTCAAGCAACACCAGGTACATCTGCTAGTATTATATAATTTTGGAAACAAGACAGCTATCTCTGTGTAAACACTCTGAGCATTCACAAGAAAGTGAGATATTCTTCTGGTCCAGGCCCTTATAATTTTCTAAAGGTAAGTGCTGCTTATGAATCCAAAGCTCAGTGTTATGAGTCTTCTAGGGCAGATTCACTGTCTACTGGTGAATACTTTTAATCTAAGGGTATATCAGTTAAGTCTACATTGTATTTGTCTTGGGGGAATATATACTCATCTATCTTCTCTAACCACTAATTTTTTGAATCTCTGTGCCTCTTCCCACTTTTTGTCTTTCCAGAGAACACTCTCAGCTTTCTATTACATCCAGAAAGTATGTTTATTTCCTCCTCTCTTCATCTACTGGAAATCCTGTAATGGACTCCGAAGTAGAAGGGAAGAAGTGAGGGAAATGGAGCACCCACATCTCAAAGAATTATCGCTACTGCACATGGTGAATAACTTCTCTTCCTTCAAGTGGTGTGTCTGCGGGTGCTCCACTCAGATGAATAAAAACCAGTACCCACGTTTGTGGGGGTGGGACTTTGGAGTCATCTACTAGCAGAGGCAAGGATGGTAGGTACTAGTCCTTGCAGTAACGCATACTGTTGCGCAAAAGTATGTGCAGAAGACCAGTAGCCACCCCACAGACGTGAGCTAGAGGGACATTGTGTAGAAAGGTGGTAGATGCAACCATCACTTGGGTGGAGTGTGCTGTGACCACTTGTGGTGGTTCTTTGTTTCTGAGTCTATAGCAAGTATTCAAGTTGCTATCCACCTGGATATGCACGTTGCGGAGATGGCTGTTCCCTTGGTGGAACTGGACATGGATATAAAAAGTCTGTTAGATTTTCTAAAGGGTTTTGTTCTATCTATATAGAATGTGATAGCCCTTCTTGTATCGAAGGTATGTAGTGCCACCTGCCTCGGGGAGGCATGCGGCTTAGGGTAGTAGGTGGGGAGATAAATGGGCTCATTCACGTGACAGTCAGAGATAACCTTTGGTAAAAACTTTGGATGGGGTCTGAAAATGATCTTTTCTCTAGTGAAGAGTGTATATGGTGGGTCCTCCATTCGGGCAGCAATTTCGCTTACTCGTCATGCCGATGTGATCACAACCAAGAAGGAAACTTTCATGACCATGTGTTGCATTGGGGCCATCACTATGGGTTCAAAGGGAGATCTTGTTACAGAGTCTAACGCAAGGTTCAAGTCCTAGGATGGGACGAGTGGACAAATATGGGATCATGCCTTTGAAAGACCAGCTGAGAACTACTTAAGTGATGGGATAGGCAAACCCCGAGGTTCACCGGGTTGTGGCAAACAGCAGTGGCTGACAGAGGGACTCTTATGGAGCTAATGGAGTGTCCCGCATCACTGAGGTCCATCAAGCATTCCAAGATGGTAGGTATTGGGGAGGTACGTGCTTATAGATTGTGTTGGCTGCACCATTTCTGAAACTTCTTGCATTTATTTTGATAGGTGTGCCTTGTGGAAGGGCAGCGACTGCTGAGGAGGATCTGTTTCATTCTCTAGGAGCAAGTAAGTTCATCGTTCTGGAACCATGGAGAAGCCAAGCTGTAAGCTTCAGGTTCTGAAGGTTCAGATGTTTGTCTGTTATGTTGAGTTAATGATTGAGGAGTGACAGGGAGTTGAATGGGTTTGGCAACTGACAGGTAATAAAGGTACAGAAATCAATGTTGTCTCGGCCAATATGGTGTTATCAGAATGATCTTCACTCGGTCCCCTCAGATCTTGTAGATTACTCTGGGGATTAGGGGAATCGGCAGCTGTCTATGGTAAAGTAAACACATCCCCTGCAGAGTGTTTGCCCTGACCCACATGGGAGAAGAAGCAATGGCATTTGAGGCTGGTTTTCCTGGTGAAGAAGTCTATAACTGGGAACACCAATTGCCGAAAAATGGGTAAAATGATTGGCAGGCAGAGTTCCCATTCGTGGTGTCGGGAGAAATATCTGCTCAGCTTGTCTGCTCTTGTGTTCTGTTGGCCTGGTATGTACATTGCAGTAGATGTAATATTGTTCTCGATGCACCAATTCCAGAACTTGACTGCCTTGGCACATAGTGAGCTTGATCGGGCACCTCCTGTCTGTTGATGTAGTACATATAGGGAGTGCTGTCTGCGAGGACACGAATAGTATGGCCCTGGATCAGTGGCAAAAAATGGAGACAAGTGTTGTGGACTGCTCAGATATCTAAGATATTGATGTGCAGTCTTGTCTCTTGTCGTGACCATCTGCTGTACACTATGTGGTGTCTACAGTGGGCTCCCCAAGCTAGAAGAGAGGGGTCTGTAGTGATTACCCGTGAGAGATCTGGGCAATGGAGGGGACTCCAGACAGAAGGTTTTGTGGGCAGGTCCACCATTGCAGTGAAGCGAGCACTAGTAGTGTGGCTGTAACGCTTGAAGTGCTGTTTGGACAATGGACTGGCCCCCTTTTATGATGGACTGGAACTGTGGCCTTTTTTGTTCTGGGAGTTTATGAAAAAATCTTGACATGTGGCGTAACTGGAGTAGTTGTAATTAGCCAGGAAGGCTGTGTAGTTGGTAATTTGGAACTAGAGCATAGCCAAGGAATAGACCTTCCTCCCAAAGATGTCTAGTCTTTTGTGCTCCTTGTCCTGAGGAGTTGACTTATAGTGTGGTTGTCTAGACCAGTGGCAGACAGAATTAACTAAAGTATTTGACGGCAGATGAGAAAACAGAAAATCTATGTCCTTTGCAGGGACAAAGTATTTTCTGTCAGCTCTGCAGTTGGTGGGTGAAATAGAGGCTAGTGTTTGCCATATTGCCTCCAAGGGTCCCATGATGGCCTCATTTATCAGTAATGCAATCTTGGAAGACATGGAAGGTTGTGAAATTCTAAATAGTTTGTCCTGGTTTTCCTGCACCTCTCACAAGGGTATGGCTTGTGACTGCACTACCCTTTCGAATAACTCCCGAAATTGTTTCAGGTCGTCAGCTGGTGTAGAAGAGGAGGAGGAAAAACCACCTCTTCTGAGGAGGATGAAGGTTGCTGGAGAGGGGGATGGCTGTCTAAGTCCAACTGAGATATGTCATCATCCTCTTTTACCGTTTTGAGTCATGGCTGATGGGGGGAGGGGAAGGAGGGGGAGAGCAGGAGATGAGCTGGAGATGATTGAACTGTTTGTGGGGAGATTTTGCTATGGTGAACATTGTGAGGTACTGCTGAGTGGCGAGTTTGGTGCCAATGAAGTAGTCGAGAGAGATATTGGTCCCCTGGTTCCCAGGGTGGCCACTGGGGTTGATATTGTTGGGGCGGATATGGCCCTCGGTAGTTGAACCAAAGAATCTGAGGAGAGTGATATGAAGTGCCACAAGCTCACTGAAGCCGTTGGTAGAAATGCTCTGAGGAAAACCGACTGCCCTGTCCTATGCCAGGTCCAGTACCAGGAGATAATGTCACAGAAGAGAACAAAATGTTTTGGAAGAACATCAGTGTGAGTTAGGTTCCACAATCCTAGGAGAATGGGGAGGCATATTATCCAGTTGGCACCAGTGAGGAGCGGATGGTAGTGTCCAGCGCTGAAGCTGCGGTTCACTCTATTTAGACTTTGGCACTTGCGGTGCAGAGGGATGCTTAAGTATTGCTGGGTGCCAAAGTCTGGTAGTTGCGGTGCTCTGGTATCCTCCAGCACTGGCAGAGGTGGCATATTTGTGGGCAATAGCCTTGATGGCACAGGCATGGTGCCCTTTCTTTTGGGTTCTGGCTCAGCACCCTTGGTTGGTGTTGTCTTTTGTTTATGCACCATGCTGGATGCTGACAGCACTGGTGAGCTCCCAGCATGCAAAACGGATGGAACAGCAGGAAGGGAACACGCCAGAAGATCCTGGGACTTATGTGAATTCCTTATGGGCAACGAAGTTAGCTCTTTTTCTCGGTATTACAAGTTCCGGGGGGGGGGGGGGGGGGGGGGATTGCTATTGAAGAGATTTCTGCCCGAGCAAATTTTTGAGCCTCATCTTGCAGTCTTTCCTGGCCCCGGCAGTCATACTTCAGCAATGTGGGCACTTCTGCACCACATGGCCTTCACCTATGCACTTTATATATGAGGCATGCCCATCTAAGGTGGGCACTGAGTCTCTGCAGGAGTCACATTTTTTAAATCCAGGGGAACCTTGCATAATTGTGACTGGAAGTAAGAACTTGGAGTAAGAAGCAAATGAAGGAAGAAAAAATGGGAAGTAACTTTTTTTTTTTAACAATAACTAACGCTACTACCTCTAAAACGGACTAAACTGCAACAACTAACTATGTATTTCTATCTTTTTCTCAGTGAAGTAGAACACTTCTGGAAGCTCTGTCTTCTGCCAAGGATGGTATAAAAGGAACTGAAGCACATTCGCGCCATGCATGCAGCTAACGGACGAAAACAGATGACTGCTGCACATGTGTGGCATGGGAAAGTACTGCTAGGCTAAAAATCTCTGATCGCCAGGGCAAGGATGCACCAACACCTGACTGAAGCATCCACAGGGACATCACTTGAAGGAGAACCCTGAACCTTCTTTCAGTTCCATATTTCAGCTTGATCCAGAAAAAAAATACCAAGTTGTTGGTAATGCTGGCCCATAGAAGCCTTTTGATCAATACAATACAAACACACAGATTATTCCCTAGTCAGAAGAGGCTACAAACACTCTGTTAGTAGTGCACAATACCAAGAGATGTCCTTCTCTACTGCACTGGGGCTAAATCTTCAAAGTGGCCTCAACATACCTCTAAGGTTGCCACTGCAACTATACATGTACATATACGTGGTCCAGTATCCTTGGGACCTGAGAGTTTGGTGGACTGGAGATGGTTAATTCTGGTCCCTTTGCTGCCAGCCTCTGGGCTCTTTCTGGGGGCCACCAGCCTCCTGGTCAGGCTCCTCTTACAGCCGCCAACCCTGCTATTGGCCCTGGCTATTAGGCTCCACTGTGCCCCGGCCACAGGACCAGCTCTGCTTCCAAACCCTCGGCTGGACTCTGGGCCACTGACCACAGGACCACCTCCACTTCCAGCCCCCCAGCTGGACTCCGGGCTGCTGGCCCCAGGACCGACTCTGTTCCTGGCCCTCCAGATGGGCTGCCAGCCACTGGACTCCTAGTCAGCCCCCACTCCTAGCTGCTGGAGCTCTCTGGTCCAGTAACATCCGTGGTTCTGGATCAGAGAGGTTCAACCTCTACATTTTTGTAGACTCGATTTTTCACCTCAATGTATGCACAATTTTGTTCCCATAACATAAGCAATATGTATTGCAGATCAGGCAGCTAGGTGCCCTTTCCCATGACTTATACATGCAAACAGTCTACACTCAAATATTAGAGCACCAATAATTTCAGATGCCAGTTCTGAAAATTTGAACGTACTGATCTAGGAATAAAGAGGCAATGTAAAAAGTTCAATTAAACCAGAGGACTGAGACAAAGGACTGCTTGTGGCCTAATTCTCTTAGACATAAAACAATACCAAGGCAGAATAGTATACTTTCACAAAGTTTATACTCTCATGAACTATACCAAGTAAAAAGGCAGTAAAAAAATCAAGACTTTATTCCATAATTTAGTCTCCTCTAAAATTGATACAACTTACTGGTATCAAGTGCTAGGCATTTGAGGCTTAATTAATCAATGTTTCTAAATCACACTAAAGCATAGGATGAAAGGCACTGTACAGTACATACAATTATCTTAAATATATTTGGCACAAATCCCTTTTTTTAAAATTGCATGAAAAACAAGATTAACTTTAGAAATGAAATAACTCTTTTAATATCTTTACATCTGATCTGAACTGTTAGAAAAGGAATCTTAAATAAACTTACTTTATTTGTTCTGCTTGTAACTGAAAGTCTCTCATGTTGCTCACCCTTCTTAGACACATTTTCTTGCTGAGCTTCTGCATTTAATCTTGAATATTTTGTTTTTTCTTCTGAGGTTCCCCGTTTGCCTTCATGTTTGAGTCTTATGACATTGCCCTCTATAGTCATTGTTTGTGTAGCTACATCTTTCAATTCCACTTTTAACAATTCAATATCCTTATTAACCTGTGGAGCGGCATCTGGATAAAACCTCTCTTTTCCATCAAAAGTTGATTGGAATTCAACTTGCTGCTTTAAGAATTTATTGACCTGCTTGAAATGTCTCAGTTCAGCTCTTAATTGAATAATCATTTGCCTCAGATCTTTTTCATCCTTATTCTCTATATCTTCGCTTGAACATTCTTGTTCAGTTGTGCCCAGATGATCTAACAGCGCAATTATAATTTTCATTTGTTCTTGTCTGCTTTATCCAAGGAGGGGGAAAAAACAACATTTTTTTTTTGCTTTTTTGTTTAAGAAAACAAGAACACCTGCTATGGAACACTTTGGAGAGCCATGACACGCTGTAGATGCCTTTGAGATTCCATTTTATTTTCCAAAAAATGTAGCGTACAGCTTCTCAAATTTTTTCATAGAGAGATTCTCTTGTGGAAATTTTCCCCTCCCATTTGTGATCATATAGAGTGCATCCCCACCTCCCATTTGTGATTATCTAACAAACCCTCACATTCTGCAGCTGATTCCATGTGTCTAATCAAGAACTGTTTGTGCCGCTAAACATATAAATAGACATTTAAAAACAACTGCCTGCATACAGCTGGCATTTGAAATGGAGGACGCTAACTATGCTCTTCATGTCGTTTTTCGAGCATCTAATATCATTAATGAGAATTAAGTTACTCAACAGCGCAGGCTCATCAGTAGTCAATATGGTAATTTATAGTAGGACAGAAAAGATTGCACACAAGAGTGCTACAGATGATTGTGATAGAATTGCTCATTCCCCGACTTTTAAGTAAGATTAAGATATAAAACAATATTACATATTCATCTTTTAAGACAGAAATATTGCCTCATCTGCCACTCAATATTTTCTTGATTATTAAAATCATTTACATTTATTGGCTGGTTTTAATAGTAATGTAGAACATAGAACCAGTTGAGTAGACTCAACTGTAGAACTGATTTCAAATGCAGAAAACAGAATCTGGGCTTGTGTATCTGCCTATAGGCAGTTTAATGCCTTGCTGCATGATGGATCAGAGATCCTGGAAGTGGGCCCACTGAGAACACTGCATGAGGAACTCTCCACAAACTCTTGCTGGTCTGCAGAAGGAATGATGTTGATGACCTCTGAAAAAAGTCACACACAACTGATTATAAGGTCATTACAATCTGGGGAGGAAAATGTGTGTGTGTCCGGGGGTGGGGGAGTGGAAGAAGGGAAGCGTCACCAAAGAGCAGGAGACAATGCAAAGGAAGAGGATATAATTCAGTATCCTACAACCAAAGGAACGGAGTCAAGTCTAGACAATAGACTTCTACTGGCAAAGCTATTTTGGTCAGGGGTACAAAGAGGCGTGATCTCTGACTGACATCGTTGTGCAGGCAGAAGTCCATAGCTTTTTCAACAACATACTGTTGGCATAGTTATGCCTATTGCTTTTATAGATATAGCTTGTTTCACTCATGGTGGCTGGCATTACTATAACAATACAAAGCACAACTTTGCTAGTATAGTCCAACAGCAACAGGAGTGCTTTGTCCTGTAAAGTATTCTTAATGTAGACATGGTCTTAGCTCCAACTCAGCCACTCACTGTGAATGAGTCATTTTTACCTCTTTGTGCCACAGTTTCTCCATCTGTAAAGTGGGAATAATAATCCAAGGATGCCGTGAACCTTCTAAAATCACTTGTATTGGTGAAGTGCTTTGAAATTCTTAAATGAATTGAACATTATTATTGCCATCATACTTTTGCTTATATTTTCGGGGGTGCCTGCTGAGGAACAGGTAATTATTTCCAGCAGTCTTTTGTCTGTAGATTTTCTTGTGTGACCAACTACAGTAAAATGATAGCATGGAGGGTTCTATACACAACACCATGACACTGGAATGACTTCAAAGCTGGAACGCACTTGAGAGAGTCTGTTTGAAGTGAACTGCACAAGGGCGACTGAGTGACTCATTAAGATCACCACAGCTCTGACACTGACATCAACCAGAGAATCATTGGAGCACCATCTGCTCTTATTTAACATAAAATTACATATACTTGAGGAAAAAACTATTTTAAAGGCCTTTTTCTAAAACTCTGGCTCTGGGGATTTCTTTTCAAAAGAGATTTAAAGTGTTGTTGAAAAAGCTAATGTGCCGCTGTGAAACAGAGCTGTAAACTTCCTTTTCAGTGATCTTAGTAAAAACAAGAGTTCTCACAAGCAAGCACGACAAGCTCACCAATCAGTCAGCTACAGGGAAAGGCACTTGTGGTTAAAGGCATTATTTTATTTCCTCCACACTCTACGGGCAGAGCTTCCTACCTAAGGTCACAAGGGTTAAAGAAATTGCTACTGAAGGAGACAATGTTGACTTGTGGCATATTTAAAAGAAGGGGAATGATAATAAGAACCACAGGGTTGTATCTGCTGTTCTACCATTCTTGAATAATCTTGGGCAAGTCACTTCTATCTGTCCCTCAATACATCCAGTCTCTAAAAGGCTGTGCCTTTAAATACCAAACTCAGAGGGAATTAAGAAGTTTAATTATAGATCTTGATCCCACAATCTGAACTCAGCAGGCAGACCTATAGACTCACACAAAACTCCAGTGGCTTTAGTGGAATTGCGTGTGGGAATAAGCACCTGCCCAAACAAATTCAATTCCAGGACAGGTGCTATACAGATACTGGTAGCACAGATCATAATTAACATTGTGAAATAGTTTTAACTATTATTCCTGTCCCCAGATTCACACATACTTAATTTTCTTACACTAATGCAGGGTTTAGGGTCTTTTTTTCCCATTTAAATCACTGTAGAGTGCTTTGAAATACTTGGATTAAAAAAGCACAAAGAATTATTTTTTAGCCCATTAACGCCACCAATCCCACATCCTCAACAAGATCAGTTCCCATAGTAAGACTTGAAGCAATACCTTCAGAGAAACTTTTCTTGTAATGGATTTTTCATGAGGATGTCTTCCTACTGATACTATGTTTCATAATTACTTAATTGTATGATAGACTGAAATGGCTCTGAAGGAGCCTTGCCAATCTCTCAGGTAAATTAGACAGTGCCATTATCTAAATTCACTTTAGCAAAATTACTTTATTCTCTCCTCAAATAGAAATACTGTCAAAAGTAGTGTCTATCCCTCAGGCTTACCTAGATTCAAGTACAGATGTTCCATTTTCATTTAAAAGAGATGTGAGCAAGCTGATCTCTTCTGCTTCATGTTCACTCATCTCTATTCTGCCAAAGTGTTTGCCAGCAATATCATGTTCAAGCTGAGGCTTATTTGGATTCCTATAATGTCTGCCTTTGCAAAAACCATCTGAATAGTCTGAAGGAGCTATCTGTTAGGGGAGAAAATTGCAAATGTTTTCTTATTAGGCAGGCATGCCATTCTATTATGTTCAGGACTGCAATCTATTCATAATCATGATTTGTAATTTTTTAGAGTCTTAATCTACATTATAAAACAGTCAAAGACATTCAATTTACCATTTATCAATAGAGGAACTAATGAACATCAATTTGATATGGTTAATTAATAGAGATCAATTGTTTAGTAGTACAGTGGAGTCTGGATTAACCGACACCCGGTAATCCGACACTCCACTTTATCAGACCCTGCAGCTCTTTGTCCCCAGGAGCTGCAGGGTCGGATACAGCGTGGGCTGGGAGAATGGCCCCGCTTGCTGCCCCGTCGCTCTCTAGGAGCAGCTGCTGCCGCTCCTGCCGGGAACAAAGTGGCTCCGGCAGCAGTGGCAGCAGCTTCTCCTAGAGAGACATCCCCGGCAGGAGTGGCATCAGCTGTTCCCTTGCTCTCTAGGAGAAGCTGCTGCCGCTCCTGCCTGGAAGTATCCTGGCAGGAGCGGCAGCAGCTGTTCCGTTGCTCTGTACAGTAGAGTCCGTATCATCCGACATATCTGGTAATCCAACCATGTGTCAGTCCCGTTTAGGTCGGATGATAGGGACTCTACTGTAAGTCATTTTTCCTAATGGTGTTCATCTATGTATGCTTACCTGGCTAATGAAACTGCTTGTATGTGGTCCACAGGTTGTAATTCATTCCATGATTAGTTCACATTTGAATCACATGTCTTTAATTATCAAATTTTGCCCTCAAATGCTTGTGAGCAGGCCCACTTGGTATGACTGTCCAAAGGCAAAATGTGGTCTGAAGTGTTTACCGTTCAAGTGTGTGTAAAATTGGGTTAGCTGCCCCTAAAATTCTCTATACAAACTACCAGACGCCACAGAACTACCAAAAGCAACAGAAAGCATTAGGGGGTTTAACAATCAGCATTCCAAACTAGGGATGTTAAATGGTTAACCAGTAAGCTTTGCCCATTACAGTTATGGTTAACTTACAATTAATTGGTGGGGTTTGGAGCAGCTCCCTGCCCACTGCGGGAAGAGAGCTGCTTCAGCCTGGCTGAAGCAGCCCTTGCCTGTGATGGGCTCTGCCCTGGTGCACTGCAGGCACTGGCCCTCCAACTTGGCTGGAGCAGCCCCAGACCATGGCAGGATTGAGCCACTCCAGCCCATCCCATTTAATCAGTTGCCAGTTTGATTTAATGTTTAACTGATTAACTAATTAAACGGGATTTTACATCCCTATTCCAAACACTACAAACTGCAATTATAAAAGACTTCCCTGATCAACTTCCTTCAATACCTCTCTACCTTGATGAAATCTAAGTGCTTTGTAAGATTGTGAAGTGGAAAATACAGAGGGCCAGGATGAATCCACAAAGGCAAGCTAATTGAAGAAAACTGAAAAAAAGGGAATGACTAAGGATCAGAGCTGGTTCGGTAATTACTCAGAAGATGCCACTTATGAAGGCCATTTCATAACTATAGTTTGGAACATTCTGATGCTCACTCAAGAAACTTTTTAGCATTTTAACTTGTTCCATAGCTTACAACGCATAGCACATGAACGCTTATAATTAAGATCTGCAAACACTATTTCAAGAAGCCAAGTTAGTCATCTCCACAGATCGCCCTCAGGACGCACACATGGAGCATGGGGCAGCTTTCATTTTCATCAGTGGGAGTCTATCCATTTATTTCAAAACACTTTAGCACCTGTTGAATTTAGCACCATTAACAATGAGTGATTTAAGTACATACTTATTACAAGTTTCTCCATACGACAGGTTATTTATATTGTATCATTTACCTGCATATCAAAATCAGGATGATGATCCAAAGGCAGCTGAGAACATGCCTAGATAAGCAGAAATTATAAATTTTAAGGCACATTACATGCTAACATTTAAAAATGATCATTTTGAATTGAACGAGAAACATAGTATTTATCTTAATTATGTGTTTTTCATAATTTACTAGATCTCTGTTGAATCCTAGAAGAAAAGGATAGCAGATCTATGAACTTGAGACATCCTGATATCAGATGTTTGAAACCTGTACAAAGATGCACAGTAATTTTTTGCTCAATCATCATAACAGGTGACTCATCAATTCCAGACACACTTTGGGCCTGATTACACTAAAAAAGAGATTCCCACTTTAACAGGCTTGGAATTGGGCCCTCTAAAGTATGTATACACTGCAACACTATTTCGAAATAACTACCACTATTCTGAAAAAACTTAGTCCGCATCTACACAACAGGCAGTTATTTCAAAATAGTGACAATATACTGTCAAGCTGGAGAACTTTTTACTCCGACTCCTGTAATCTTCATTGTATGTGGAATAGGGGAAGTCAGAGGAAGAGTGCTCTATTTCAAAATAAATGCTGTGCAGACACTCCCTATTTCAAAATAAGCTATTTCAAAATAAGATACGCAATTGACATAGCTCAATTTGCATAGTTTATTTCGAGTAAAGCCCTGCAGTGTAGACACACCTTAAGAAATGCTGAGTATCTTTCTGGATCAAAGGGAAGTAGGGACTAGGAGAGGAAATCCTGAAGGGAAATACCTAGGAACAGACAAACTTGAAGAGAATATTTAGGCTAATGTTTATGATCTATAATTAAGCTGAGAAAAAAATCAAAAAGAAAAAAGGTGTTTTCATTAGATAACTACTTTCACTAGTATCCTTTGTTCAAAACATGGGGGGGACTCTCCCTGCTTACAGGGAACTGTAAAGGCTAGACTTGTATACTCTAAACATCCAGCAAAAAGAAACCCAGTTGTAATGTAGCAAGTTAAATATCTGTAATTGTACATCCAGAACACGTAACTCTATGTTAAAAATACAATACAGTGATATTAACACAAACCTACCTCACTGGTCCTCTCAGACCACTGACGGCTCTCTGCATTCTTATTGTCAAAATCTCCAGCTTGTCTCATGTTTTCCTCTGTTCTTTCAACAAACTATACAAAGTATGGAATGAAGTGAAAATATTGCACAAAAATAATGTGGTATGAAACATGCATAAATAAGTCAGTGACATGTCTTAAAAGAAAAATAAAAAATGCCTGTAATACAAAGTAACAAACATTAGATTAGATGTATCCAGTAAGATCAAAAGGAAAACACAATAAACAGAAATAATTCATACATAGTACAGTGAAATCTGAATTTATTCCCTCTCTGCTGCACATCCTTCAGAACTGTACAAAAATAGTACCTTAGCCCCTTCCTGCAAACACTTTTCCCCTCCCCAATCCATATTTCTATTGTGCCTGTTGTATTTTTCCATTTAATGATTATTTTTATTTCCTAGTATTTTTCTGCATTCATGGGGGGAGGAGCTCTTGCTAAGCAGAGCAGACCGTCTGGCATAACAATAAAAAGATTTACTATTACACTGAAGACTAAACACTGCTTTGTCCCTCGCTGATGCATCATGGGAAGGAGGAAGGAAAATTAAGGTGCTACAAATGACTTTTTTTCCATTTCCTATCCTCCCCAGGGCTCAGAATGCAACTACTAGCATTTCACTGAGTAGAGAGACAGGAGGAAAGCCACGGTCTAGTGTTCCCCAGTCAGGCCTGCAGAGAGGAAGGAAGGGTGCAAATGGGGCAATTGCTACAGGGCCTGGGATACAAAAGAGCTTGGAGTTCCCAGCTGGCCACCCTGAGACCTTTAAACAGTTGCTGGAATGCAGCGTGGTACACTCCAAACAGCACTGAGGGCTAGGGGGTGGGTGATGGTCTGCAGTACAGGCAGTGCTGAGAGTTGGCTGCTCTAGCCCCACCCCTTCCACCTTAGGCCTCACCCCTGCCAGGGCTACCTCCAGCCTTGCCCACGAGCCCGGCAAGGCTTTTAGCCCCACTTTACCCAGTAGTACTCCGAACCTCAAAGAGGGCTGACCAGCCAACTTGAGAGGAAGGCCAGGAGCCCCTTACATTTTGCCTGCTAGAATTCAACAGCAGGAGTGACAAGAGTCATGCAGGCAGAATTCTGCTTCTTGAACACAGATAGCTTTCCTAGCCAGTTTGCCTTTGACACCAGAGTTTAATCCTTGATCTAGAGGCATCTAAAAAGGTTTCAATGACAAGAATACTCTCTTAAATATGATTAATCTGATTATATCAAGGAGCCATATTCTGTCAAGGCCCTGCCAATAAACCCTCATACAGCAAATGGAAAGTGGGAAAGGAGTTTACCTTTGAAAACTTGGCTTCCCTGAAACTAAGTAACAGTGAAGTCATTCCACTATTCTGTGACCAGTGTCTCAGGGTAGCATTCCACATGTTTTTGTTCATACATGACTAAATTCAGCAATGGTTTCACTGCACACGCCCTCATATAGTTTATTTATTTTCCTTGCTAGAATAGTTTTCGGGGCCACGAAAGAGAGAAAGAGAATATTGGGCAGATTGTAAGTCCTCAGGAATGCTGCTTTTGCAACAGACACACTAAATGTTCAGCGCATTTAAGCAGAATTAGCCCATACTGTGGTAATCTTACTATACAGCAACACCTCTCAATAATTTGATTAAGAGATTTTTGTAGAGGAACTTTGGAGCTGGAAGCTCATTAAGAAATGGAAATGAGACACAGGAGAATCTATTACCTGTAAGTAGCATTTTCTGAAGGTACTATTGTCTGTCTAATCCACAGACAATGTGTAGTATTGAGAGAATGGATTCATAGCTCCATTAGACAAGGATTTTAATCTCAGAGCAAGGCTGTAATGTACATGCCTTAAAGGCAGTAATATCACACTAGTGAGACTAACAGTCAGTTCCTTTTTGACCTAGACTAAAGAAAATTTACCCTACATAAAATAAACACAAAAAGGCAGATTCTTAATCTTAGTCAGGGGAGCACTAGTTCATTGAGCGCATGGGCACACAGCATTTTAGTGATGCATTGGGAGAAAAGAAGAGATAACTAAAAGTTGTGCACGTTGAATTTATAGTCTCAATGTATGTGCAAGGCAGTGCTAATGGTTATGCCGTGAAGAGATAAACCTATTTCCCCAATCCCAGTTACTGAAGACACAAGGCTCAAGGCATGTAGATCCAGTCTCAGATTAAGAGAACTCTTGCAGGTGTAGTGGAGTGCACATCTTTTTTCTCCAAGGGCATGTGTGCACTATGGAGAAGATGGACCCTCCACAGGTCAATCTTGTAGCATTCGATTTAGTGGGTCAAGTCTAGACCCCCAAACTTGAATGCTGAGGGCAGCCCCCACCAGAGTCCTATTCTCATTCTGCAAGAAGTAAGGGAAGCCACCTTCCGCACTGCAGACACTGTGGTGGCTCAGCTTAAGGCGGTAAGGCGAATCCAGCTACACATCTTGCATAGCTGGACGGTGTACCTTAAGACAACCTGCCTGGTCTAGTGTAGCTGAGACCTAAGAGACTAAGAGCAGTGAGGAGTGTATAAGTGAGTTTCTTATTGTAATTCATTTACCTTGTATATATGCACTAACAGGGAATGAGAAAAGCACTTTTGCCTTCCACTTCCTAGAAACGTAAACTACTACTTTTGTCTATGCATGAATCTTAAGTATTAATTTAAAAAATAAAATAATATTGGGAGCTGAATGGTGCAGTATATTAGTAGATTTCCCTCTGTCTCTAGTTTGGGTCTCAGGTATGAATTAATTGGGTATTTTCCCCAAAATCCCAATTTTTGGCAATCTCAGAACTGGAGTAGAAGGGCAATGATACATATCCAGACCATGATATACTGACAAATTGTGCTTTGGAAAAGCTTGCAATTTGTCTGATTGTAGCCACTGACTTCAATGATCCCTAATCTTATTCACAGATTATGTAAAATTAAAAAAATATTACCTAATTATAGCATACAAATACATAATCAGGATCTTATTTTCAAAATGAGGTGGTAGGGACAAGCTTATTTTTTAAGCTAGTTAGATCGATTTGTGCTCATATTTACCTGATCTATGCAGCTTTCAACAAAGAACAACTATCTTTTATTAATCTGCATCATTTTCTGATGTATCCCCATTCCTTACAATATGTGAATCTATAAGTTATGCTGCTCACAATTAAACTATTAATATTTACATGAAACAAACTGTAATATAGCATTATAGCAACTGGCTGCAATTTGAGTATCTTGCTGCCTCGAGTCTCAGAGATTGAAAAGAAACTTTCTGTGCTCCAAGGAATACAATCTAATGTTCAGCAAAATATTAAAAGAAAATAAGTGGCTTAACACCAGGAAGAAATCTATTGAGAATAAGATGCCTATTTAAAATATTTCCTGAGAGACTGAAAACTGAGAATGCTCTTTTCTAAATGAACCACTGATATGCTTGGATTGCAAAGATCCCCAGAGCCCTGAAGGCTGGAATCAGTGAAGCTGCTGCTCTCACAGAAAGCATATGTTTAGAGGACAATGCAAAAAGAGCTCTTCTATCTTTACACCACTACCACTTTGGAGCCAAGAAACAGACTACTCAGGGCTGTTAGTTTTTTGGGAGATGCTTGCTGAGGATCCAAGGTGCAGATTTATCTGGTTTGAATTCCAGTTTTGTTAAAGAAAATAATGGTCTGTACATTTTAAGGACCAGCCATGAAGACTATATGTTGGTATATCTTGCCACATTTCATAAGGACGACAGACAGTGGCATTGTCTTAGCAATGCATGCTAACAAATTCCAGTGCAGCATAAAATCCAGCAGAATGCAGTATTTTTCACATTTATTTTCAATTTGCAAAAATGCACCTATGGCCCATAGCCCAAAATAATGAAGCAGGTCTTTTATTGACTGATTTATATGACATCTTTAAAATAAAACATTGGCTTTCCAAGCCTTTAACTTTGGGGTTCCAATAATACCTTAGTCACTATGGCACTAGCTTGAATAGAATATTTTACTTGCCTCCTGGCCTCCTCTAGCATTTTATACACAGATTATTTTACAAATTTCTTTCTCTCATTTCTTCTAAAGGTAGGTCCATAGATATAATTCTTTAGTGACTGGCACTGATATTCTCAGAGTAGAGCTGTGCTGCCATTGACATCAAATGTAGAATCAGTGAGAGGGCAGTGCCCTCTACAGGACTGCTAAGCAAATTGCTGGAAATATGAATAATGCACTAACTCCAGTTTTTAGAATGTACATTAACTCAGTAGGCTTTCAGTGATAACCTAGTTATTCGATAAATCTGTATGTTGACTATTTTTAAATAGATGTTAATCCAAGAGTAAAGCAGTACCTAATCTATAATTAAAATACATATAAATTAAAAGTAACCTAAGAGACCTGACTTAAATGACAAAGAAAGGAAATTGAATGCAAATTTAATAACCGTCTTTAACAAATCTGCAGTACACATGATAAACTCATCTGATGCTGTCCACCTAGGTAATATACAACCCACAAATGAGTTTAATGCCTAAACACAACAGACTCATATTATTTAAACATTTTATTTTCTGTTCTGTGAATTTAACCAGATTTAGAAATTCAAGCTAGACCATGCGGGTCACACTCATCAATTCCTTTTGCTTTTGATCTCATTATTATCCAGCATGCTGTGCACAAGGAAGGTGAAATTAAAGAAACAAAAGAAAGGTATTAACAAGAGCATTTAAAAGTAAGAATAATTTATGAGAAGCCATGAAGGTGAACTGGTCACATACACTGTTCCCTTTATCTTCTCACATAACAGGGATCTAATAATAGGGACCCAATAACCAGAATCTTTTCCACCAGACTGAAGCTGCCATGCATGGGGTACTTCATCACCACTGCTAAAACAGTCCTAATTAGAGTGAGCAAATAACTGATTTTTCAGTTTGATGGCTGAACCTATAAATAAAATATTCTAGTTTTCAATAAAAAGTAGATTTTGTATTTTCTTAACTCACGGAAACAAAACACAAAACATTTTTATGTTGGTTGACCTGATATTTCATTTAGAAAATGTCAGCTTCAAATTACATTTCAAAATTTTCAGATTTTAAACAAATAATCAAAATGAGCTGAAACATTTCCAAGGTTTTTTTTCA